CTTGCTGTAAGCACATCCGGCAGTAGTCGGGGGAGCCACTCTTCCTGTAACAGGTGACTCTAAATGACCCCAACCTCTTCGATTTCACGGCACTGCCCAGATATCACCGATGCCGTTGGCTCGTCATCGACGGCACTGTCCCCACTCATGCCGCCGGCCCGTCATCGACGGCACCACCCTGCAAGCAAACAGAAGCATTACCTGTCATTAGCGAGAATAGTTAACGCTCAGTGACGAACACGCGGTACGGAAAAAAAAAATAATTGGCCAATGCACGAGCTGTAACGTGCAAGGATCTGTTTTTTGCATAGTTCCCCGCAATTTTTGTCGCTGCCGGCATCGGTTTTTTCGGCCAATTCTTCTAGCTAAACAAATTAAGATTGGCCACCAAAACTGGCAGAAAACACTCCCTTAAAATTTCAGCTTTCTATCTTTCCTGGCTCCTGAATTAGCAACTTACTGGAAAAAAATTTTTCACGATCCGCACCCGGGTGCCACGCATACCCGATGTCTGGGTTTGAGCTCGTTGAGACTTACTTGGACGAGGAACATTTTCCTAAAACTACAATCTTTTAGCTTTCAGGTTCTCAAGTTATGAACTTACTCGAGAACTTTGGTGAACCTGTGCGTAGGTACCACGCATGACCGAGGGATGGGTTTGCGCTCGTTGAGACTAATGTGGACGAGGAACATCCCCTTAATATTTCAGCTTTCTAGCATCTCAGATCCCCGAGTTAGGAACTTACCCGGGAAAAATTTTGGCGGTCCCGTACGCCGGTACCACGCTTACCCGGCGGTTGGGTTTCAGCTCATTAGTACCTGCTAGGACGAGGAAGATTCCATTAAAATTCCAGCTCTCTAGCTTTTCTGGTTCGCGAGTTGGCAGATTACCCGTAAAAAACTTTGGCGGGCTCTTACGTGGGTACCACGCGGGAAAGGCCGCCATTTTGGGGATGGGGATACGTACATGCATGTAGATTAAGTTCCTGAAATTTCAGCCCCGTAGCTTTCGTAGGTCTCGAGATGAAAAATCGGTACAGAGGCCCTGCGCACGCACGCACAGACACAGACACACACAGACAACCTCTCGTCAGTATGCGTTTTCCGCATTGCAGAGCTGCAAAAAACACATAAAAAATGTTTTAAACGCTGATGCGCGAAAATAGGGCGTGACAATTTTACTAATTTCGATAGGACAAACTTGACAATCCGTGTGTGTGCCGTTTGCCATTTCCCTCTCTCAACGAATATGCACACTGCGCTGCTCCGTAACAACTCCCTGTCTCCCCTCACTCGGTGCAGTCACATAATTCGCCTTGAGAGAAGAGCCGATCAACCGTCACCTCCGAGCCATGTGGCCAATATTTTTACAAGTCCGCTGTGCTAGCGGCAACTACAAAAACACTCGGCTTGCTCGGCTGTACAGCACACATGGACAAAAATATCCCTTCCTACGTTTCCTGAAATCGTTTTATCGCATAAAAATTTACAATTTCCTTCAAGCGATCCCTATGTGAGATCCAGGCGCGCATGAGTGATAGTTTTAAAACGGGAATGTGCAATGTTTTTAGCATCGAGTTGCGAAAATTGTAATATAGGCCTTTTTTTGGTCCAGATGAAGTTCGAGGCACTTTTCATAAAAATTCCAAAAAAAGTCATTAAAAAAATCCCAGCACATTAAAACATTTAAAAAAAATGCATAAAATTCCAAAAATGTAAGTAACCCCAATACTAATTTCTTCTCAGCACCGCGTTTCAGGATCTTCATAAAAAAAACCTCTCTCGCAATCTTGCTTCCGTTCCCAATTCCTAGCTCCAACCGGTGGCCTCAGCTTCTCTACAGTCAATGATGACTTAGTTCCA